TTCGATGTCAAAACAATATGTATTAATAGGATCAAAGAATATCAAACAAACTAATAACAGTAATAACTAAAGATGTGCCTCTTCTTCTGGTGGAAAAAGTGTCAAAATTTTATAGTGTATTTTAATTATCATATTCCGGAAAAATTGTAATATGACGATAGTCTAGAATGTAACTGTAATTTCAAAATAAAAATGAAAGAAAAATTTTACGATTTGTATTCAAATAATGAAATTTGATACATTAAGGTTTGTTGAGTTGTTCATTTTTTACAACATTTTACAGAACTGTAGACAAATGTGGGTAGTAAAAATATGGAGTTCATCTTCATCAGCTAAAATCACTACGGAAGTGTCGTGTCAATCAACAAAAAGAGATATAAAAACGTCTCAAGAAAAGGAAATAGTGGTACGCAAAAAACACTCAGACACGGTCCAATTCCAGATACCAACTGAACTGCGTATTGCTGGCTGGACACCTTAGTACCTCGTGTTAACTGCCGCGCCGTTGTCACATTGATCGACATGAATTTTATCGAATTAAATTTATTACAACGCTAATTATTTTTTATAAGGAGTTCAAAAAAGTGATAAACATTGTATTTTATGGTATTCTATGTACGCAGTTATGTCAATATTCCTTAATTAATCAAACTTTTGTACATGAAGTTGGAGATTTTGATCATTTTTTTCTCGGAAATAGTCGAGTTTGGGACCCATGTCTTATAAGGTTTTTTTTTTGTTTATTTTAATGTATTCTATCGTCTGTTAAAATTAAGGCAGTCAAATTTCTAACACCCTGTATAATTGAAAAAAATATTTATATATATCTTATCAAAAAGGGTATTTTTTCAATATATAGAAACACAAAATAGTTTTATACTGTAATAGGTGTAATTACAAATTAGGTATTTCAAAATATCAAACATACAGGGTGTGCCATTTAACACTCCCGCTGCCAGTATCTCCGAAATGAAATTTATTTTAGTTCCGGAAACTGGGATTGTTAGATCCCTCGAATAGCTAGCTTCAAATTACATTTAGAATTATTAGTTCAAATCTTTCTATATAGATAGCGTGGCGATACTAATTTTTTTTTGATTCCTGGAACGCGGAAGATCGTTAAATTTTGAGTAATTTTTGCAATATAAAGTTTTTCTCAATATTTACTTGTTGTCTGGCTACGACAGAGGAATCAAGTGCTTTTCCATTCAACGTTACGAGGGTAATACGAAAACTAATCCAATCACAAAGGTCAAACTTACCGACGATATTGTGCTGGTTGTAGTTGTAGGTGTAGGGCACCGAGTGCAGGGCCCTAGCGGACCAGCGCTTGTGCCTGCTCTCCTCGTCGTCGTCGCTGCCGCGGTCGGCCTCCTCGTGGAGGTAGTGCACCTTCTCCCACCGGTCCAGGTACCTGAAACAAAAAAAAAACCAAAGTGGAGTCTAGTTAGAATCGGAGACTACACTAACCGCGGTCGGGCGAGAGATCACTATAAACGGGTCGCCGCGGCACTGACCTGGCCCAAGAGCGGCACTCTCTCGCCGGGCGCGCCACGTGACAGCGGCGTCGCCGTCAGCCAGACCGCTCTGCTGTTGTGTTCGAAAAGAGAGAGGGGTGGCGAGGGGCCCCATTCATGTGCCGGCGGCCCGGGACACGGTCGGGGTGCCCGCCGTAGTAGTAGAGTAGTGCTCGACCGGTCGGCCGGACGTGGTGCGTGGTGGTGGCCGGCCGCCTGCACGCGGCCACACGGTGGCGACGTTCACGCACCAGGCCCGCCGACTGACAAGTGCGGGTGTGACGTGCCGTTTCATCTCCGAGGCAGCGGCACGGGCCGCCAATACGATGATGATTACGATCCACCGATATAAGTCGGCTGCCGTGTGGAGAACGAGAAGGGGCAGGGGGGAGGGAGGTGGCAGTCTAGTAGTCGGCGGTCACAGAAAAGCACGTGCTCGAAGCGGGCCGGCCTAGGTGGGACTGTTGCGATCTCGCTGCAATTATTGTTCGCGCTTTTAGCTATGTGGTGATATATCAAAAGATTGGCGTTAGTAAATCTAATAAATCTTCAGTTCTGACCAACGACTAAAATGTCATGACTAATTTAATCAGCGATCTTCAATCATTTGACTAATACTGATTTCTCAATGAGAAATATTAGTCGTAAAGCTTCAACCATGACTAAACGACTTAAGAGAAAAATTTAGTTATGACTTATCATATACAACTTTTGATGGAAAAAGTGAACCAAGTGAAAATTACACACAAAAACGCCCCACAGATACTGAAACTGCTCGTTTCCGAATCTCCTGGCTCAGAGTTTTTACCGCCACGATCAGCTGGTTGAGCAACGGAGACACAGGCCCCTAACGGACGCCCCTGAAAATCGATTTTTTTTTTAGTAACTTTTAAAATACTTTGTGCCTTTAAATTTCTCTTTACGGATGTAAGAAAAATCATATTGAACAAAAATAGTTTTTCCTCGAAAACAGTTCATTTTATCGATATCAACCAAGAGTTTAGTTTAAAGTTCAAGCTACCTAAAAACATTATTTTTGTGCCTTTATCGTAAAGGGTAAAGGGTAAAAAAAATTGACCTGACCTGACAAACCAAATAAGCCACATTGTTTTCAAGGGTCAATTTTTAAAGTCTTATCTGTTATCCATCGTATTAAAAAATAATTAAATTACACAAAGTATTTTAAA